AACGTCACAATTATGCATGATCTTTGGTCAATAGAGCAGAGTTTTATGTAGGTTATGGCTTTAATTTTGTGAATTGTAGCTATGCATGATATCCTCCTTTAGGACATACAAGGGGCCACCCTACTCCTGGGGAGATTTATGATGGAACTAAAATTTTATAGTGTAGCAGGTGGAAGTATGGTGTAGAGTAGATTGCCACCAGGAGGGTGTGACCCAGGCAAGCGGACAGCTAATAAACTGATGTGGCACACCTGACTCATTTCCCCTACCTTATTTATATTCCCTCTCTCCCAGTAGTTAGGAAAGCTGTAAGAAAGAAAAGACAATAGAAGGAACCCCTTTTAGCCAGAGAAAAAAAAGCTAAACTGAGGTAAGGTATCTAGATATCCAGCTACTTTGCTAACTAGCTTTTAGCTTGTTGTCGTCATCTGACAAGTTGCTTATCTCATGTAAGTGATCCATTTTCTCCATTGTAATGATTATTTGAAGACAGTTACTACAGTTATACAGCTGTAAGAAGATATTTGGCTTCCTAGCAGTAATGTTAGGTTCTACATTCCTTTTGCATTCACAAGCTAATGAAAAAAAAATGTAAAAATTAAAAATCAAAATGCCCACCCCCCAAAAATTCACCCTGAAGCAGTTATAGTTTTTCAAATGTTCCTCTCACCTTCAATGCGTATAATCAGAAGAGGGTTTTTTTAGCCTTTAAACCAGAAAACCTCACTCTAGAGGCTACTGCAGCAGTGCTGTAGGATGTGAGTAAGCATGTTTAGGTGTAGTGATTGGCTTATTTTGGCTGGCGTGTTCTTTTAAGACAAGGCAGATTTGCAAGTCTGGGTTACATAGAGTGTGATTCACTCATACATTTAAGCTATTTTAATGTACAATAAAAAGCATGTGCTGGCTCTTATTCTTATGTGATACACCATTTACTTTTTTTCTTCCTTTTTCCTTTTTGACAATCACTAAGGTATATTTTGCTCCGTACTTCTACTTGTATTTTGGGTAAGATTTTGACACACTGTTCATACTGTCACTTAAGTGTAGTTGCTCTGTACTTTTTAAACCCCTGACTGTGTTCTTGCTTGAGTCCCTTGATGTTCTGCAATGTTCCAGATGTGAAGTGAATACATCTGTCTGACAGCGTTGTTCAAATGGAGACCAAATGAATGAAAAATATGGTAGAACAATGCCTTTACCATCTCAATGGCAGTTTGCCAACACTTTAGAGGGGCCAACTGACATGCCTTGGAGAAACGGTTTGTGATAACCAGAATAGCAGTATAACTCTGAGAAACTTTAAGGTTTAAGGTTACAAAATAAACTACAATTTGTGTTAAAGATCAGATAAAGGCTGTGAAACCAAGATCTGCTTGGGGCTAGTGCGGACTTGTGCACATACTACTCATCGACCAACACATTGTGTAGCATCCTTTTGCTCTTTATCTGCTTCTTGAAAATAAGGATTTTTTTTTTGTACCTCCTTTTTGTCAGTGTAGGATTTCATTCTGTGCTGTATGGGTGTATCCTTGTTACCAACCTCAGTGTCCTTATACAGGCCAGCAAGAGTAGGCACAGTGAGCATCTTGTGTCCATAGAGCAGCTCAAAGAAACTCTTCCAATACCATCTAATGATCCATCTTGAGAGCAGTGTCCCTGAAGGTACATGCGGCAGATTTCAACAGCCTAGCCCAGGTATTTGCTTTCTTTTCAACGGTAGCATATTTCTGTTAAGTAGCAAAGAGCATTCTTGTTGCAGGTGTCCAGTGAAACATGTGGCTGCTTGATGTACGCTTTCATTGACTTCACCACAGTGGCATAGTTGAACAGGAACTTTGAGAAGCTGAAGACATAAAGCAATGTAACACATTTTCCAGGGCTCCATGACAGTTTCTAGTTTCGAGTCTAGTTTTGAGTTTTCAGGGCATGGACAATGATGCCATCTTGGTAGAACTGTATTTCAGGGAGGGAACCATACAGAATAAAGGTTCCCTTGTGAATCAGCACTTTCCATAAATAGAGTTCAGTTTCTGTATCATTGCATTTTTAAGAGCAAAACATTAACGTTTGTTGTGTTTTTATTTCTGAGAAAAGTGAAGGGATTTGTATTTTGTATTGTAAGTTCGCAACCCTGTTACTCTTTTTTTGGAAAACAAAACTTCTAACATCTAGAAAAAGTGCATATGTTTTGTACACAGTATATAGATTTGAATGCAAATAAATATGCTTGGGGCAGTGGTCACCAGTGAGTATATACACACACACACACACACACACACATATATATATATATATATATAGTTGCTGTCTGAATAAAAACAAGTATCTCCAAAATAGTAAGTTTACAGGACAGGGCAAAAACGATCTGACCTTTAAATGTAAGTTAATGTAAAGAGGTTTTATTCCAAGACTTTGGAACATTTCTTTTTGTTCAATCATTATAATATTTTCACACACCATAAAGAACAGCTGGTTAAAATGAAAAATTATTATTTTTATTACTTATTTCAAAAGTTCAAGAAGCTTTTCATAAATGTATGTGTTTCTTGCTAGAAAATAATGAATTCAATGAACACATGCTTTTGAATGCTATTTATACATCTCCTCAAAAATTGGTAACAGGGTAGCAAAAATTAATGTACATTTAAAAAAAACAGCTCATATAGAATCCGATTCGACAGCCTGAGGGGAGAAAATAACATTTTCTTAAGCGCTTCCTTTGATTAATACTTTGTCAAAAACAACAAAAAAGTACATTTTTAAAGAGGTTTGAGACATAAAATGAACTTCAGTGAGGTCTTGTGAGTCCTTGTGCAGGACAACCCGTTGCCAGTCACTGCCCTGTGGGGCTCACCTAGATCAACACAGACATAAATGCCTTCAGATTAGTGTGACAACAGTGGGCAACAGCCATGTAAGCATGTCATGCTCAGTGACATCCGCCAGCAACCGGTTCAGTTCATCAGCCACAATGCTCCTCATAGACACAGGTAAGCGGTATGGTTTGTTGCATACTAATTTAACATCAAACATCATGTATGTCTTGGTAGGCAGAATATAAAATAATAAAATAATATAAATGCAAACCACTCAATGGACATGCTCCTCATACAAAAATGACTGATTTTTGGCATTTATCTTACATTGGCTTGTTCAGTGCATTAGGAGACACAAATGGGCCTGGTTGATGGGCACACTGTGGATTAGATGACTCATTGTTGATTAGATGAAGTAGCAGTGATATAGCCAACACATGCAGAAAGCAGATAATAGGGGTCCAATCTAACCTGCCCATGCTGTTGAATACACATTTGCTGAGGACACAAAACAGGGGTGTGGAAATAAGGTCCAGCATCAATATACAGATTGAGACAGGATTGCCAGATGCTCAGAGGTTCAGATGCTCATGCATAGATAGAACACAAAACACTGTTCTCTGTAGTGTGCTGCTCAGAACAAGAACCGTATACTGGGTCATAGTACTCTGGCTCATCTAAAGCCTTGTAGTCATCTGCATATCTGTCCTGTAGTTTCTAATCCAACAAAAACAAAACAGGGACTAAAAACTTGGCCTGCTTCTAGTAGCCCAGACATTGTTCTTAGATCTAAGTTCTCACAAAGTTTTCTGTGGTATCCATGGATGAAGGTTAGGAAGGGGTAAGGTTTCTCCTGTTATGCACAAAACTCATCACTGCCTCACGGGAGAGCATCCATCTTACTCGTCACAAGTGAGCTAGTTATTATTGGCTTCTGTTTGGAAATCATTTAAAAAATGGGGGTAGTTTATATATAAGACCGTACATATAAGGCCTGATTAAGTATACAAACGCAAAAAACACTACGGTGGTAAAACTTAAAAAGTTAATCCAACCAAATCAAATACATCCCCTAAGCTCACTCACTGTGCTGAGAATGATCTGCCGCCCAAATAAAATTTAGTCAGATGGTGGCCCCTTTGCACTGATAAAGGGTAGAGGTTGGCGGATAAATAGTGCAGTCAATAATAATCTAGAAAGTACACCTATAAGTGTGTCTAATAAAGACGGTAACTTTGTGTACACAGACTGAGCCATACTTACAAAAACAAAATCTAAAATGCCAGATAGCTTTTCCTAAAAAATATAAAGATAAAGAAAGTTAGCCCAGAGGAGAAAACAAGCATATGTAAATGACTTGATAAAGAACTACTTCTATTTATTTGTACTGACCTTACTGGATTGGAGCGTGGACAAAAATGTTAAAGAGCTACTGCAATACATCTTATTCATTAACTCTGTATCTATTAAGAGCTAAACAAAACAGGAACAATGTACACGATTAATTGGGAAATAGCCAAAGGTGTTGAGGCAGAGCCTGGGCAGGTGTAGCCACAATATCCTGACTGTTATTGTATGAATAAATGATCCTTTTAACATGTTGGCCCCTACTGACAATAAATGTTGACCCCTACTGACAATATTGTTTTCAGTTCCATTATCCGAGTGAGAGGAAAGTGGAAAGCAAAGACTGTCTGCAACATTCAAACAAACATGCAGTCTCTTTTTGAGGTTACTCAGTTGCTGCATTAGCAAAATATTTTATAAAGTAGGAAACACCAAGGTTATGTACAAAAAATATTAAGTTGTTCCAACTAAAAAAAGGTAATTTGATTGTGTCTCATTACGTTACTGTTATCATTTCTAGCATGTTGTTTAACTTTGTTATAAATGAGATGCTATAGATAATGATCTATATTCCAGTCAATAGACATCCATAAAACCTTTAAAGGGCCCTTTTCCCTTGTATTTTATTTCTTCCTCCAAGGTTCACTTATGACATCTGTGTGGTTTTATGTCCCTAAACTGATGTATGCAAACAAGCTGTGTTCTGATTGGCTGCCTTGTATTGTGCCTCATTCAAAAAGCTGTCCAGGCTGAAACACTGCTTGAAACTTCAGTGTTTGGGAAGAAAGGCTACATAACTTTAGCATTCAAGCATGAATGATGAGACAGAGCATGATACGCTTCCATTCTTTATTTGAGTTCTTGCTGGACCTGCAACAATGTTTAAAGCTCAACTGCACTGTAAGTATGAAAACGCAGCTCGTCTTTCTCTTACAGCACATGAAGAAACACATCAGTGTTGTCCTCGGAGCTTTATCAATTACATTTTGATATCAGAGTTTCATTTTCAGGAAAATGCAGTACACATTGTTTTGCAATGCATGCACACCTGTAAATTTCTGTGAAAGCTATGCCCAGCCCCTCCATGTTGCCTCTGTATTGTGGAGTAGACCATCAAAGGACATATAACAAGCTGTGAAGAAAATGATGGTCAATATTAGTTCTTTTTAACTCTTTGGGCATGAAAATAATTAAAGGTTATTATAATCATAAAAGTATTACAATTTAGCATGGATAAAACATTTTAAATCACACTCTGTACATACAGATTCTTGGTGTAATGAATGCATTTCATTTTGAGTACTTTGGAAAAAGTATTGTTTTAGACATAATCCCAAAGGGCAGCAAAGTAGATTAAAAGGAATTCCACCTATTTTTCAAAATCTTTATGTAATTCAATCACTAATGTGTAGAACAAGTCATTCAGAGTGGTTTGATGTGAAATGGTGCACTTTAGGGAAACTTGCTGACTCTCAAGATTTTTTTAAGTGGCAGTGAATAACCAGGAGTGGCTAATTTTGTCATTTTATATGCTAGCTAAAAATCCAAAGTTTTTATATTTAAATGCTGACAGTGTTAAAACAGCATTAAAACACAGAACACAGAAAGAACAACCAAAAAAAAGTTCTTCAGGTGTTTTTAGGCCAACACCGTATCCTAGACATCAGGCAATGTATTCGCAACCATTTCATGTGACATTAAATGCTTCAGGCAACTATCCTATCACCACCACTGTGAACAATTTTGACTGATTAAGTTTCTGTAGAAGGGCACATTTCATATCAAACCACTTACAACTTAAGAATTTAATTACACAGAAAATTTGAAAAATTGGCAGAATTCTTTTTTGAAGTCTAAGTTCTAAAAGTTCTAAGTTCTGCAAGCTGCAACCAGACCACTCTGAGTGGAGCACCACCACTGAAAATATTTTTACACTACTGAAAAACAGTTTTAATGCCTTTGACACAAAGCTTTATAAAACACTGTAGCATTAATTCAGCAGGATTTCAGGAAAACTATGTATATATAGTTTTAGTCTTGCTGTGACAAAGCTTAAAAATGGCTTTTTTTTTAGGTACAGTATTTACAGAAATCTCTGTCTGCTGCTGTTGGTTTATCTCAAGAGATCTCAAGGCAATTACCTAGTTAATCTGGTCAAGTACAAAATTCCAAGAGCGATTTCATTTAAGAAATAGTGACATTTGCACTAGCAGAATCTTGTTTCTAATGCACAAGAGACTTGAAAAGGTCAAACATACACAGGGCAGACTGAGAGTAACATCACAAAGTGAACTAAAATGATCAATATTTTCAACATAAAGAAAACATTCCCCATCCATTAGTGTTACCAATGCATTGCAAACTTGAAACTATATCTGAAACTACACATGCACTGTACTGCACAACACAAAAATGTTAAAGAAAACAAAACGCACCTCAGGAACCATGAGAGGTGAGAGTTTCACACACTCAAACCTTTAGGATTCATTTTTGAGAATGAAATGTGATGAAAGAAGAGGGAGACCTTCCTTACTGACATGAGATTTTTGGTTGAGTTCCTTAAGTGCTTAAACACAAATAATGACAGAAATAAAGATGCAAAAACATCAGGAGTGATGGAGTAAAAATTACAGTAGCCTCATGACTACTATTTAACACTAAGACAAAACCTGATCATGTAGGCTACCTACATTAGTAAATACTTTTTAAATTAGAGCACATTGCAATTCCTCCAAGAAAACAAATAAAAAAAACAAAAAAAAACCAAAAAAAAACAAAAGAAACTGATCAGAAGTGTCAAACTCCACAAACCGAATTTATATAACGAGCAAGACGCTGTTTACACAAAAGCAAATGCATCAAAACATTTTTTTAAATCATAGTATCACTGATTCACAATGGAGGCAATGACTTTGTAAGAATTTAGTTTTCAGTGTTCCCTCTATGCCTGACGTTCTAAATATAAATATATAAATGTGATTGAAAATGTGGGTGTTGATAACTATGAAACTGATGAGTTTTTTTGTTTGTTTGTTTTTATATATAAACATGGGCATGTAAACACATGGCTCTATACTTTTTTTAATGTCCATTCAAAAACAGAGGTTTACTGCAACATGGTAAGAATTTTCTGTTTGATTAATTTGTTGGTACTAGATTTGCTTTTGTTACTTGTATGTTTCAGACTGATTAAGACTTTCATCATTAAAGTGATAGAAGAGAGATGACTAACAGTGCCAGAATCAAGGCTTAGAGGGAGCACTGACTAATTCACTCTTGTCACATCAAGACATCAACATCATCGCCATGGTCTTCCTCCTCAGTGACTTTGAGCGACAGGACCTCTTCATTAAGGAACAGACCACTGAGTCTTTCCTTGCGAGCCTGTCTCTGCTCTTTCAGTTGCCTTTTACGCAGAGCCTTCTGCTGCAATTTCCTCTGCTTAGAACGTTTCTGTACAAAGAATGTGTAAAAGAAAAAACATCAAAACAAACTAAGTACAGTTGTATGCAAAGGTTTGAACACCCTCGGTCAAATTACGTTTTATTGATAAAATAATGTAAAACTCTGTGTGCAATACTCTCTCTTTGTCTTGTCATATAGCGTGCAAAGGCTTGCAACAAAAAGACCAGATGGTCTATAAAAGACAGGTGTTAAGTGTGTGATACTTTCCGTTTTTGAATAAGTCATGTAGTGTATGCCCAGCTTTGAAAAACATAACAAAACATGTCATTTGACCAGAGGCTCATAAAGGTTTCCATAAGCCTGTATGTAAACTTCCCTGCAACCCAGAAGGATAAGCAGTTTAGAAAACATGTAAAGACCTAAATACAACCCCATTTCCAAAAATGTTGGGACGCTTTGCAAAATATAAATGAAAACAAAATGCAATGATGTGCACATCATTTAAACCCTATATTTATTTGAAAATACTACAAAGACAACATATCAAATGCTAAAACTATTGTTTTTTGAAAAATATGTGCCCATTTTGAATTTGATGCCAGCAACACGTTCCAAAAAAGCTGGGACAGGGGACTGGGACAGTGCTGCATTATCTCTTCTTTTAACAACACTCTTTAAGTGTTTGGGAACTCAGAAGGCTAATTGCTCTGGTTTTGAAAGTGAAATGTTTTCCCATTCTTACCTGATATAGGATTTCAGCTGCTCAACAGTTTGGGGTCTCTTTTGTTGTATTTCTCGTTTCATAAAGTGCCATATGTTTTCAGTGGGTGACCGGTCTGGACTGCAGGCAACTTTTTTTCTATAGAGTCATGCTACTGTACGTGCAGAATGTGGTTTTACATTGTATTGCTCAAATAAGCAGGGCCTTATTTCATATGTTGCCAAAACCTGTATATATCATTCAGCATTAATGGTGCCTTCACAGATGTGCCAGTCACCCATGCCATGTGCACTAATGCACTCCCACACCATCACGGATGCTGGCTTTTGAACTGTGTGCTCATAACAGGCTGAGTGGTCTTTAGCCCAAAGGACGCAATGTCAATGATTTCCAAAAAGAATTTCAAATTTTGATTCGTCAGACCACAGGACACTTCACTGCTTTGAAGGTGGCAGCATTCCCGGATCCTCTTTGGCCCAATCCCATTTCACCCCTTGCCCCTACCATTTAGCCCTTAGCCCTCTGTTTTGGGCGTTCACGTCTAGGGTTAGAGTGTCCCAATTTTCGTTGAGATTGACGGGTAGGGTGAAGTGTTAGGGCTACATGGCCCTCCAAACGGAGGTTTTTCAGAGGCACACTACAAACGGAGTGTTATGAGAAAAAAAGAAAACCAGCAAGATGGCTGCGCGAACGACCAAAGAAACCCACAAATGTATGTATTTTCTCCGTTAAAAAATTAAGATAGCCATTGTATTATCTTAATGTCGTTTCTATGGAAGTGTTGTATATTATGATCGTTTTCTTCATAACAAGAATAAAAAAAAAAAATCGCAAATAGCATGCTAATGTCTCGGTAGCTAGCTAGCTAATTTTCCCATTCCAACTTAAATAGTCCAGCAGTATTGACGCCTGAAGCTCCAGAATGTAACGGCTGCACCATTTAAGGTGGAACAGGAAAATTCGAACAAGAAGCTGGTGAATAGCTGACTTCAGCTTCGTATTACCAAAGAATTAGCGGTGGGCGATAATAAATAATGGTCCTATACCCCATCTTTGAAAGCATATGATGCCCTAAATGTAACTAAAGCCCAGCAGCGAGGTTGCTGAACTTTTCCCTTCTCTGTTATCACTGAAGACGGGCCGGGTCGCTTAAAGAGCACTGCTAGTAGCCTGTTAATGAAGCAAAGTTTTTGTTTAATTTGAGGTTCGTCCCATTTCGTAGGGCAAGATTTCTCTACCATTTGTAACTCAGTTTCAAGGGGTTATGGTGACACTCGAAAACAAGGGGTAGGGGTAAAAAGAAGAAATGGGATCGGGCCTATATATACACCGTTTCTTCTTTGTGTTTTAGAGTTTAAACTTGCATTTATGGATGCAGTGATGAACTGTGTTCACAGACAGTGGTTTTCAGAAGTGTTCCTAAGCCCATGAAGCGATTTCCACTAGAGAATCATTTGTCTGTTTTTAATGAAATACTGCCTGAGGGCCCAAAGATTACGGCCAGCAAATAATGGTTTTCAGCCTTTTCCCTTGCATACAGAGACTGCTCTAGATTCTCTGAATCTTTTGATGATATTATGTACCACAGATGATGAAAAGCAAAAGTTCTTTGCTATTTTATGTTGAGAAACGTTATTCTTGAATTGTTGCACTATTTGATCACGCAGTCTTTCACAAAGTGATGAACCCCTCCTCATCTTTACTTCTGAAAGAATCCGCCTCTCTGAGATGCTCTTTTTATACACAATCATGTTTCTGACCTGTTGCGAATCAACCACCAGGTGTTTTTTTTTTTTTTGGGCACTGTACAACTTTACCAGCCTTTTGTTGCCCCCGTCCCAATTTTTTGGAATGTGTTGTTGGCATCAAATTCAAAATAGGCATATACAGGGTGTCCCAAAAAAACTGACATTATTTCATAGTCTAATAACATAGCCAATTCTGCCTCAAATGATCTCAAATTTTAACAAAATGTGTAAACACTAACCAAGTTTTTTTCAGGTTGAAGAATGGCGTTCACTAGAAATGAAAATGCATTTTGGTGTGTTAGAATATGCTCGAACACAGTCAAACAAGAGTAAAATTCAATAAAAATGCAAAAAAACTGGACAGCAGATTTGGACATGGCACAAAAAATTCAAAGAGGAAGGCTGTCTGTGCAGGGCAAAGGGATCTGGATGACCACCAGTATCGGAAGATATTACATTTGTGAAGCTTTGTGAAACTGGTTATAAAATCTACATCCCTCTGAATTTCTTGTTTGAATTTTGATAAATAAATTGTGTATTGTTCAACATGAAGCCTATTTAATTTCGTTTGCCTAGGACATGTAGTTAATCAGATATTCACATCTCAAATGATGTAAATTTTTTTGGGACACCCTCTATTTTTCAAAAAAACAATACAATTTCTCAGTTTCAACATTTGATATGTTGACTTTGTACTATTTTCAATTAAATATAGGGTTTAAATGATTTGCACATCATTGCATTTTGTTTTTATTTGCATTCTGCACAGCGTTCCAACTTTTTTGGAAATGGGGTTATAATATAGTGAATATAGAAATATTTGGACTGGGAAGTTAAAATGTTTCCTAATAGATGACAAAGAACTTATATGGCAAGACACACATGCTAATTTCTGCTAGCACCTCTCAGGTGGTGTACATTCAGTTTCCAATGGTCTTGTTCGCTAGGTTCTATGAAAAGAGTTTTGGTCAAAATGCGTAATTTTGATATAACTCTATGAGGGAGGGAGAACATGGTCAGCCTCAAACTTACTTTTTCACTGCTTTTTTGTTGTTTAAATGTCATAAGAAAAAATCTACATATGCATACTGGTTTAAGCGTACCTTTGAGTCTCGGATGCGCTCTGCCGCAGTGGCCAGGTTGCCATCACTGTGAGCACGGCTGATGTTCGTGGAGGAGTTGGAACCTGTAGAGCCGGTGCTGCTGCTGGCACTGCTCACCATGCTGGCATTGCTGCTGCTGTGTGCACTTACACCACTGGCACTGCCGCTGCTTGCCACACTCCGTTTCCAGCTGTCACGCGTGCTGCCGGGCCTCTGCCGCGGACTGTGCTCCCGGATATAGTTCCTCACCTGGAGAGCACAATTTCTCATATATAGCACTGTGTAGGGTAGAGTGGTACAACAGTAATACAGTACCCCTTAGTATTTGAAAGTTATGACGGTATTTCAAAAATGTGCCAGGTTCTGTTCCACATCTAAGAAATTGCCAAATAAATTCAGTGCGCAACTTTCAATTAATATAAGTGAGCGATAAACATGTAAACAATTTTCAATTCTATCGAGTGACAACATCTACTAAATAACAAACAGTGCTGCCTAAGGCAGTAGAGTAGTGCAAGTGTTAGCTTTGCTAGAAGGTTAGCTCTACTCACTGTTTCCAACTGGTGTTCCACTGACAAGTTTAGAAGATAAACACTCAAATCTGAGGAAGTGACTGGTCTTGGGGCGAGTTAGCCACCCTGTGGTGTTTCGAACTGTTAGCTTGCTAACTAAGACAGTACAATGCACCAACCGACTGTTTTAGGCAGCAGTGTGCAACACTTACAGATTGTTACTAATAGAATGATTCACTTAAATTCTTGCAGGTTTATTTTCTGGTTAATAAGGTTACAGTGGGAAGACTTCCAGGTGAAAGTTTTTTGTCACAAACATTATTGTTTCTGTGGCTGGCAGATAGACCTGCCCTCCACTGTTATTTTTTTAATTACAGGACTATGATTTTGTGTCATATTTTCAGTATGCTATACTAAGTAATATTTCTTTATTTCATATCCACTAACCTGTTTCAGTTTTTCATCCGTGAGGCAGTTCAGCTCAATGATGAACTCGCTGTCTGTTGGAGATATCTGTGCACTCGGGTCAATTATTTTAATTATGTCAAGTTGCTCCCGCAGTCCCATCTCAGTACTCACTTTCCGGCTCAGGTACTCAATATACTCCACCTGAAAGTAAAAAAAAATAATAATAATAATATTGATAATAATAATAATAATAATAATAATGTTTAGATAATGTAAAGCTATAGTATTTCAGGCTGAATCTAGAAACATTCAGAAATGTTGCATTAAAAGTTTCTGGCAGATCCACAGCATTGTTTAAAGCCATACCTGTTCATCATTGGTCATGGCGCTCCAGGGCAATTCGTCCAGGTTCCCATGAGATTTGGTCTTTCTTTTCGAAACAAGGCAGGGTGAACTTGGTACACTGGGTATGATGTCAGAGAGCACATCACTACCACTGGCAATGTCACTTCCTGGCAACTGAGAACAAACAAGTAAGTTTCCTGATAGAGCTTCTTATAATTGTTATAATGAACAACTTAGGAACACAAACTTCTGGTGTTATAATGATGATGAAAGTGTATCAAAACTTTACATTACAGCACAGCACATCAAATTTCAATCCAGTTTATCACAGTACAGCTTAAGATGTGACAACACATAACAGAGCTAAAAATAAACAACTTGAAAAAAAACATATTTTAGTAATTACTAGCCCAACATTCAGTACAGCCAAAGCTTAGTACAAGTTTCAATGCAGTGTAATACTTGAGCATCAGGCTTGCAAAACTACAATGAACATATAAAGACAAATATGTTTATGACATTATATATAAACTGTTTCAGACTTTGAACTGGGCTTGAAAAGGCGTTTAGAAGAAGAGAAGGTCACGCCCTTTCTGTGTGGGCGACAATGTAAAAAACAGTTGCTCAGTCCTTGGCAGTGTGCCATTCATGCCACTAGAGGGGACACTTAGCAAGGAAATGTCTGTTCAGAACACTGTAGAAAAAAAATTATGTTCTTGATCTACCTTAATGAATAAGAAGACTACTAGGTCAACATCCTAGATAAATACATAAAGACATGAAGACTGCATTAAGAAAAAGAATAGATAGGGAAAAAATAAATAAATAAAATGAAGAAACGTATCTTTTATAGAAATAAATCATTATTCAAAGCTCTGGATTGCTGCATTCTTTCTGATAGAAGAATTACACCAGTTTGTGTACAACATCACCTCACAATTACACAGCCTTCACACTCTGCAATTGTTAGTTCAGCTTGAATTGCACTGTTATAAGCTCCCTGGTAAGCTTTTTTTGTTGCATGATGACTGTTGGAACCTCTATCATGTATTGGTTAAACATAAGCAAATATAAACAGAGCTGTCCCTTTTCCAAGTTCTTACCTGCCACTCAAATTCACTGTCTGACCAGTCCCAGTATGTGCTAATGGAAGAAGACACATCACTGCAGACACTGCCCTCTGGGAAGAGGTCAAAAGAGGTGAGCTCCTGGTCGTCCAGGAGAGAGTAGCAGTCTTCTTGATCCCCCACAGACACAGAAGAGAAGAGTTCCTCGCTGCATTCTGAGCTGGCCACACTGGTGCCACACGAAGTCAGGTTCCATCTAAAAACAACAGCAAAGTGTTCGATTTGGAATATTTTATGATCTTGGAATATACTCAGCTGTTAAGATTTTAATGCAGAACAATAATACTGTGTCACTAAAGTACTGAAATACACCATATGTCCAAAAGTTTGTAGACACCTGTTCACCCAGCATTTCCTCTAAAATCAAGGGTATTAATGGGGAATTTCTACCCCATTCGCTGCAATAACAGCCTCTTCTTTTCTGGGAAGGCTTTACACAATGTTGGAACATTATGCAGTCCTAGCTGCCAGGAACTGATGTTGAATGACTAGTTATGGGTCATGAAAGCCAACATTCCTTAAAGGGACTGAATGGTACTCTGCCACCCCAGAGAACGTAGTTTCACAGATCACAGCTCAATGTAAGGAGCTTTTTGCCCTTCAAGCTGATGCTTGACATTGGGTATGATGACCTTAGGCTCATGTGCAGCCACTCTAGAGCATCCAGTTCTATTAGAAATACTTGTGTATGGAGACTAAACAAACTCAGTATGTGCAACTGAATGCCTGTGTTAGCAATGGGTGTGCCTTAAAGTAGTTGAATTTACCAATCAGAAGGTGTGTCTGGAAATGTACAGTGTGTCTGCAGGACAGTAGGCTTAATCTGAGAAGGTTAGTGTGTTTTCTGGCCAATTCCAAGTGACAGACAACTCTGGTAGTCATACAGAATTTTTAGAACTACAGGTACATTCATAATGTCTGTTTTTTTTCTACTGACCACCAGAAATAGCGAAAAGCACAGTTGATGAAAAATACCAACAAAGCCACAAAGAATGGGACCTAAAGTAAAGATGGCTGCAAAGACCTGTGACCAAAATGCTACTACACAGACGCCTACGAATGGGACACCTCTCAACACTGCCCAGAATGTAGAAATAGCCAAGGCAGATAGACAAGACAAAGTGTTTCTGCTAACATTTCTCTGTGGTGAGCCAAATTCTTTGCCGCCAAAACCCAAAAAAAAACCCCCAAAAAAAAACAATGCAACCAATCATCCATCTAATCCAACGCCTTGGTGACCTTGGTGAGCAGATGCTCTTATAAAGCTCTAATAATCAATCATTTTAAACATTTTAAACTTTCAGTCCCTAGCCACCTTCAGGTGCCTGCAGCTTTTACTTGAGTTTAACTTTTCCTTTCTCCTTCTTATTTAATTTTATTATCATTCTTTTTTATTCATTCATTTATTTATATTACCTTTTACTTGACTGTTTTAATTTTTAGTTTGCCTATTTATACTTTTATGCTGAAACCTTAGTAACTGGTTTATTATCTTGGTTTTATTTTATATTTCTCTCTTAACTGTTCTCTTAATTCTTTTGCCACGTATCTTGACTGGTTTTTCCGTTAATTTGTTTATGTAGTTTTGTTCATTTTAGTTTAACTTGATTAAAATTCATTTTAATTTCTTTGTCAATCCATTTAATGTTATAAAGGCTCAGCTACATTGAAAATGAAGGTCACTCTCAACGTATTTCTGAGTGAAAATAAAGTCAAGTTAAAGTTTATTTATATAGGGCTTTTTACCACAGATGACGCATCTCTCACCTCGCTCTCTAACCAAGCTGGGTTAGCTTAGCTCTTATCCTGGCTCTCATTTCTTTCAGTAACAAAAGCTCAGGTTGTAGTGTACTAATCTACACACTTTATGGCTGACTAAAGTGATGTGACTACTCTGCAGTACTATTTCACCCATTTGTTTACAGTACATGCACTATACTGTATAGTCAGAAAACAAAATGTTTGTAAATTAGTGCTTATTTTATGGTACCCACATAATTACACAATTTATGTACACCTCAGTAGTGCAATCGAAATGCATGGGTTGCACAGAAAAAAGGCAATCAAGTTCAGGATTATGTGACAACTAAAAAGGAAAAACTTCATGAACTTGCTGGAATTTAAGTCTCCATCCCCATATCAACTTCTGTGAGTGATTTTCCATTACGGATATTTCTTCCCTACTGAGAGTCCTCCAGAAACATCTCTGTTGTGTTGTGACTGGCTTTGCAGTGTTTCTTAAGTTAAATGTGTTTTCTTTATTTCCAATGCTTTTGTGAAATTCAGTTCAGTTGCAGTTATTTCGATTACATACAGCTGTTAAGATAACACAATATACTACCTTTTGTAGGGTTGGTCTACTAGGTAGGTAATAGGTCTATGTGCATTCAATATATTTTTTATTCTAAAAAGCTTTCATTTGCTTTTATTATTGTCTCTCCTATTATTTAATTTGGCAACAGAGCAAAGTCAGATGAATGACAGTGGTGAGACAGGGCCAGAAGATAGCAGTGAAAATACAATTACAGGTTGGAGTGGGTTCATATAACTTCTGGTCTGAGTCCCAATGTGGCCTGGCTGAGAAAATTATTAGTAGCAAAGTCTTCACTGAAATCCACTTGAGGCCTGCTTGTGATAGCAGATCAAAGCATGGAGTGGACTGCAAAAAAGTCAACTACACATCAAGGGTACATCCCTTGACAGGCTTCTAAGTGAAAACAGGGAGTGAAGGTGCTGCAGTCCTTTAAGGAAGGCGCAGATCCAATTGTGTGCACCTACGGATAACCAGCCCACAGGCTCAGGAGAAAAAAAAAATAGAAGCCATGTTAACCTAAACGGGGAGGATTTCCACGCCCTCACTCTCTGAGCTGAGGGGGTGGCAGTAGCTTCCATGCCACTCTCAGAGAGGTGCAATTAGCAGCCATAAGCCACAACTTGTTAGTGGCTGTAACATCTAACTTGAAGTTGTAGCATATTCACGACATAAAAATGGCTGTTTTACGTAAGTTGTAAAATAAAAACACAAGATAACAGTTCAGAGTGCATTATTCTCATGAAATGTGATTTCACTACATCATTTTAGAATAAAATCATCAGATCAGTCAAAAAAAAAGTCAATATCAGTTCAGAATGTCACATTATGCACATACCAAAATGATTTTTTTATGGAAGTGATTAACATAAACTGGATTTATTTACTAACTTTAATGTACTCAACAGTGCACTGTGTGACTACATTATGTATGAAAATGCTAAGCTTGTCAAACAATTAAAATAACTTTTTATCACATTATTTTGTGTGGTTAATTGTGAAAATGTCTTATTTGCTCAAATCTGACCCTAAAGAAAGATTTTTTTAGCAGTGCATTTTATTGTTTATGACTTTTAGTAATTCAATAACATTATTTTTATTTGGGTGCAGGGTTTGCACACCCTGAACCAACTCTTTTGTAATTTTAACCCTCTTGCTTTTGCTCCTACAGCCTGTGGATTCTTGCTACAGTGGATGATCTCGAGGATTACTGGAGTACTCGACTTTGCTGTGTTTTTCGAAGGTTTGCTGCTCGTTGATTTATCCGTAGAGCTCCCACAAGCACAGTCCAGCAAGTTCTGCCAAAATTGCTGGAGATATTGCTTTAAAGGCTGTACTTTAACTACGGGACTACAGTTGCAAAATTCCATCACAGTAACATAAAGTGCACAAACAGCTGGGTTTCTGCCTGCACTACTAGAAAAACAATAAAGGACTCAGATGAGGATGGGATCAAAAAAGTTGTTCGGAACATCCCTTGTTAGCTTTGTCCTTAGGGTCAATCATGGTCATGTCCACAGAATCAGTTACTTTCACTGATTAATTATACATCTAGCATGGCTCCACTTAAATCCATCAGGAAGCTGTTCAAACAATGCTAGTCATGGTCATCAGCAGGCACAGCCTTAGCTAGTGATGTTGGCGAGAGTAATCCACACTGATGTCATGGCCCACAAACGACAATGAAAATCCCTACCCTGTCATTTGTACATTTGTAAGAATGGAAAGATTCAACTGAAAAAACGAGTACCAGTTGAAAAATTAGTCAAAATAAAAATGGTTAAAAGAATCCTTTTTATACTGGCTGTGTCAGGAGGCTGCATAAAATGTTAAATATAAACATTGCCATACCTGTTGCTGTGAAAGCGACGCAGAGGATCTGTCCTGTGACAAGAGGAGAGTTGACAGCCAAAGTCACTAACATCCAGTGTGCCATCTTCACTGAGGTTTCCCCGCTGTGACAGCAAAGGAAAAGGTTCCTCAGGGGCAAGGAACTTCTCATAAAGGTCGTCAGACATCTAGAACCTGAATATGAGAGATAAGATTTTTTTTCTGCACAGATAATCTCAGACAAACAGAAACGAGAAAGCTGAATACAGAATCAGAGAAAATTACAACTGGTCCTCTGCCTAGCTATACTTAAATAGTACCTTAATATGCAGCACTGTTTCATAAAACACTTCGCTCATTTGCACTGAACCTGGACAAGCTACTTGTGTTAAAAAGGAATTCCACCATATTTCAAAACATCAGCATAATTCAACCACTAAGATGTAAACAGAGTCATTCCGAGTGCTCTGATGTGGAAACCATCATTCTAGAGAAACTTACTGAGATAAAATGGTTCGAGGTGTTGGTGACGGTAACCAGATGTCTGAAACATTTAATGCCTCTAAAACCTCCCTCATAGAAAACTATTACATGACATAGTTACGAATACTTGTACTTGACACAGGAGACATCGTTTTACAAGTCTTGAAATAAAACGGGCCTTAAATACATTTTTTAAAAATCCTTTTACAGCAGAGAGGTACATGCAGGGTGTGCTAATGCAGAAAACTACCCAAACAATCCCCCATATTTAACATTATTTTGCCATAATCAGTGCTAAATATAAAACTCAAAAGACACGTGTGTTCACTGATCATTTGGGCAGTTTGGAAATAAAATGGCTATATTCTGCTATATTATCATCCTGATTCCTATCACTACTACTGTAAAGAAAATACCTTTTCTATGGAATTCATCATTCCACATAAACCGCTTCGTACAAGCAAAGCATATCAAGATCATGTTAACTAGGAGAAAGTGTTCAATGTGATGCTCGCTCTGCCATATAAGAATAATATGTAAGGCAAGATGCTTTTGGGAAATTCAGCCCTGAGTGACATCTCAAAGACTGCACTACGCAAAAATGGTGAGACATTGGCGGAATTCCCATTCAGCGTATGTTTTTGTTACTAATGCAACGAATTTGCAATGAATACTGTTCTAGCTTATCGAACAACAACTCGATTTTATCGCTGACACGTCAAACCCTGACTGTCTCGGGACAAATCACGTTTTAAATGGTTTGATGAATTCAAAGTTTATGCAATCTTTCAAATTTGAGACAGGCAGAACGCACATTGTGTCAACGTAACCTAATGTCTGGAAAATGCCTCAAATAAGGCTCAGCCCTGGTTAAAATACGTGAAAACACCAACATAATACTGTCCTACAAATTTTAGATTCGTATCTAACCTGGTCAAACACAAAACAAGCGCCTAGACTTTTACATGTTTAAACTTGTTACTGCCAAGTGGAAGTTTAGAGTTCCAGCGAATCCAGCCGTAACGCTAGCTAACTCGTTAACGCTAAATGTTTGACTTAGTTAGCTTAAACAAGCTAACGTGGTACTCAGTGTTAATGCGGGGAGACCGCTAATCGTCATACATTAGCAATGGCAAGTAGGCCATCAACATCGCGACATCGTGTAGTCAATATAGCGTTAGCTTTAGCTATCATTACCTTTTGTTGACAAAGTACGTAGCGCGCTAGCTAGCTAGCAAACTGACTAGCAGTCCTACTAAACCAAAATACTGGATTAGCTAGCATTGCTAGCGCTGTTTTGATACTTTGTACTCGCATCTGGCGTTTCAAACGGACTGAAATATAGGTTCGTGAGCTGAGACATTAACCTAGTCAAATAACATGATAACAAACCAAATGCGAATACCGTGGCTTATCCTACATATTTACCCGTGTTTATTTCTTCAGTCTGCAAACTCCATATCCTTCGTGGCAAACCCGTCCGTACCCTTCTGACAGCGTCACACTACGAAGGATTTCGAGTAACGCTTAGACCCGATTTACATATGATCCACAATGCAAGATTTCCGGTGAATAATATAAGAAGATCAGCGATTCTCGCAGTCTTGCGCAAAACCTGCCTCACTCCAACGAATCAGGAACTCTTCCATAACGCCACCCACTGACAACATGTTCAACAGCTCAAACAGAAGCTGTTAAAGGACCAGTTTCTCTCGTTCTTACAGCATGTTAGAAACAAATTATACATATCAGTGTAACTTTCAGTGTGTCCACAAAATCAAAGTTAAAAATGAGCATGTAGTGAAAATTGTGTGCACATACATATTATATACAGCGGACATAAGATTGAACTGCTCATAAAGATCTAAATTGAGTGTCATGGCTTGTGGATCTGCTACATGGAAAACATGGAAAATAACATGTATATCCCTGAAATAATACAGTGCATGTGTAATCTGAGTCTGTGGCTCAACATTTGTGAATAAACGGTCATATCAGACTCCATTTAGTCATTTGTCATTATTGTAACAAGTAAGGTAGCCAGAGTTTGGGTGTAACAGAATTATTTGTAATACTTATTCAGAACACAGAAATTAAGTGTCTGAGCTCAGTCGAAGTGACGTTTTTAAAAAGCAGTATTCAGAATACAGTTGCTTTTTACATTTTTAGGAGAATACACTTTTAAAAAATAATTCTTAAAGGTTCTTTAGTAGAGAAAAATTGTATATAGAGCCACGAACACTCAAATAATCTTTTGTATTTTAAAGGGTTCTTTGCTTCGTATAAAGGTTTTTCTGATTGATGGAGAATGTCCTGTAGATGGTTCTATATAGAACCTTTTCGAAAAGGGTTCTATATAGCACCAAAAAGAGTTCTTCTATTGTTACAATGTCAAGCTTGACACAATTGAAGAACCCTTCTTGGTGCTATACAGCACATTCTCCAACAATATGAAGAACTGTTTCATGATGCAAAGAACACTTTAGTCATGCAAAGAGTGTTTATGGTTGTGTAATGGTTGTGTGCATGTGCAGTTCAGCAACAAAGCATGAGCTGACGTAATGAAGCACAGTGCATATCCTGCGATCTGGGGTGAGTTCAAGTTAAATGGAACATCAGATAAAGTGGGAAGCTTTAGCACAGCTTTGTTGCCAATTGACATCAGTGCTGCTCTATAGGTCTGACTATGGATAAATGTTTCTGATTGAAGTGATATGTTGTGATAAGCTGACAAAACATTTAACAGACATTTAACACTTAAAACCATTTAAAAGACAAAAGTCTTGTTGTCCTATAATTTAAGGTGTAGTGACTTTTGCCCACCCCAAAAACATCTTCTGAGTGTGCACCAGTTGGCAGGGAAGAATAATATTAACCGATGATAAGACATGTTTGGTGTCTGAGCATATGTTTTGCTCTGGAATCGATCTCACCCGATTACGGTACTGTCTTGTCCTTAGTTACCGCTGAGAGAGCAAGACATGTACAATCGATCTACAGAATCTGACATCGATCAACCAATAGGAATATTAAGACGCTGTGACATCATTGACTGACAGCCCCTTTATTAGCATAAGGACAAGGAAATACGGAACTAAATAGAGATAAATAAATAAATATAGAAATTAATAGTTATGGAAATAAATTAATAAAATAAATTAATAGAAAAACAGAAAAAATGTTAATAAAGAAATATAAATAATAAAAAAAATAAATACAAAAATTTGTGAGAAGGGGAAATTACTAAATAGACATAAATAAATGCAGACATATTAATTTATGTAAGATTTTATTTATCAATATATTAATTGTTATGTATATTTATTTATTTTTAGATTTATCATCATTATTCTTTGCAATTCTACTTCATATATTAATTTACTAAGTCATTTATCTTTAATTCTTGGCTGCTTAAATACCTTTGGACTGAGAGGATATTGCTCAAATCAGATTTTTCGCTGAACCATGACTTTGAGCAGATGGAACTCTCCGTGGGAAATAAACAGCAACATATTCCAGCAGATAAATGAAGATAAATACTAATTTAAATTACACCAATATCACTTGAGTTGCGAAATGTTATAGGTACAATAAATCTGTGCGGAACTTCATCTGCGTTTCTCGAACGCACCCCTTGGTGCTTCTGGTGCTTGTTGGTCCTTTCCCATAATTCCGTGCTGACGAGTCACATGAGAGCGCTAGGCGGAACACTCTCAAAACATCACCGCTTCACCAAATTCTCTTCGTGGCTTTAATAAAACGAAGCTGGTACATAGGCACGGTTTAGATAGTTAACAGTTTGTGTTGTGTTTGTTTTGCAAGCTTCCGTCTACAGAATCGTTTCTGTTTGAAATGTCAGCTAGTGTTAGTTGTGTTTCTCTGCAGTATTGTAGCTAGTTGGTCCAGATGAGCTCTGCACATATAAAGACTACAGGCAGCACGATGGCGGATAATGTCGGTTTTTTAGGTGGAAGGATTCCCGCAGAAATCGAAGTCATGTCCAAGGATTTGAAAGATTTAGATAAAGAACTATTCAGGAAAATCCTTAAAGGTGTTGTCACCTATCCAACCAACTCATTTCTGCAGCGCGACAATTTCAAGTGTGTTTGACGATTTATGGTATTGTACCAGTTCCTCACTGTTTCAAATACTGTTTTACAGTTGTGGTAAACGCAGTCGAGGGCAAAGACTGCAGTGGAGCTATGGCGGAGATTGCACAGAGCAGTTCCCTTTCGGACGAAAAGTTCAGCCGTATTGTCTCAGGCATGTATGCACTTCTTAAAGAAGCCTTGCGTCTGCCATCGTCTTCATTAAAACAAGAGGTAAGCACCTTATCTCACTGTAAGGTAAAGCATGTTAAAGAGGACCAGCCAGTGTCGAATAAGTCTTGATTAATTGTCTATTCCAGTCCAGTGAAAAACATTCAGAAATAATAATAATATTTCAGCTGTAGGTTTTAGAGATACCGAACTGTTTTATGCCATAGGTTAATATATTATTTCCTGCCTGTCTCAGGGTTCCTATGCCTTGTTTTGGTTGGAACGCCCCCACTGTAAAGACGCCCTGAAATCAAAATTGACTTTGTTAACGCTAGCTACAAATTGATACTGAGCTCCTAAGGTAGCATTGCCACCATTAGCAGAAGTGAAAACTCTGCTCAAGTTGTCCAAGTAATAAGTATGTCTCAACACTTGTTAATCTGTCCAAAGTTGGTACAGACATGCCTGAAGTTGAGTCCCAAGTCATACATTTGTAGTCTGAAAATCAGTACACATGTGTAGCATATTAAATAAACAACACATACATACACACACTTACTCACTCACTTACTCACTGAGCACTTTATTAGGTTCACCTACCTTGTATCTACACTCATTGTCCATTTTATCAGCTCCACTTACCATATAGGAGCACTTTGTCGTTCTGCAGTTACAGACAGTAGTCCACTTGTTTCTCTGCATACTTTATTAGCACCCTTTCACTCTGTTCTTCAATGGTCAAGAAAACCACAGAGCAGGTATAATTTGAGTGGTGGATCATTCTCAACACTGCAGTGACACTGATGTGGTGGCATGTTAGCGTGTGTTGCGCCGGTACAAGTGGATTAGACACAGGAGTGCTGCTAGAGTTATAAACATCTCTGTGTCACTGCTGGACTGAGAATAGTCCACCAACCAAAAATATCCAGCCAACTTCATCCTGTGGGCAGTGTCCTGTGACCACTGATGAAGGACCAGAGAATGACCAACACAAACTGTGCAGCAACAGATGAGCTATTGTCTCTGACTTTACATCTGCAAGGTGGACCAACAAAGTAGCTGTGTCTAATAGAGTGGACAGTGAGTGGACACAGGGTTTAAAAACTCTAGAAGCACCTTGTGGTGTCCTGAGAATGATGAGTGAAGCACTCAAACTAAACCTGCTCTGTGGTGGTCCTATGGGGCTCCTGACTATTTAAGAACAGGATGAAAAGGGGCTAACAAAGTAACTACAAAGTGCTCCTCTTTGGTAAGTGAAGTTAGGTGTTTCTAATATAGTGATGATTGTGTGTGTATGTATACATATATAATATGTTTGTATGTGTGTGTGTGTGTGTGTATTTATATATATATATATATATATATATATATATATATATATATATATATATATATATATATATATATGTATATGTATGTATGTACACTGGAGATTATTAGAGAACAATTTATGAACACTTGATTTTTTTCAGAAATAATGTAATCTTCATTGATCAACATTTGAAGGATTTTTTGTTAGGGGTATACCATGCCACTAGAACAGTGTTTTACAAAATAACCAAGGTACTTCAACATAAAACCTTTATTTTGCAGAAAACACAATGATTAAAATTAGAGAACAACAATGACTGTAGCACAGAGAAAGATTACAACTAAATTTTCTGAAGGTTACAACAGTCACCAATCAGTAGGAAGTGTACAGGCCGTTGCTTTGAACGACTTCAGCACATCTGCGGCCACAGGACATCACTAGTCCCTCACACTGCTCTGGTGTGATTTTGGTCCACTCTTCTTGCAGTCTCATCCACAGTTTGGTGACTGTTGTGGGTTTCTTGGCCATAACTTTGTCACCAAGGATTTTCCAGAGGTTTTCTATTGGGTTTAGATCAGGACTCTGGGCTGGCAATTTCATTGTTTCAGTGTTTTCAGTTTCAAGGAACTGCTTTACCCGTTTTGCTCTGTGACAGGGGGCATTGTCCTGCATGAAAATTGCTGGCTGATTGAGTGATGAACGCAAGGAAGGAACCACATGTTGTTGAAGAAGGTTCTGATACACACTTGCATTCACTCTGCCATGTAGCTGTATGAGAGGTCCAACTCCTGCTCCCGAAAACATTCCCCAAACCATGACACTTCCTCCTTCACCTTTCACTGACTTCTTTACACACTTTGGGTTCAGTCTTTCCCCAGTTTGTCGACGAACATAATGTTTCCCATCAGACCCAAATAAATTAAACTTGCTTTCATCACTAAAGTGAACTCTGGACCACTTCTTCTCTGACCACACAACATGCTCCTCAGCAAAGGTTAGTCTAGCCTTTTGATTCTTTCTGCTAGTGAGAGGTTTAGTCACTGCAGAGTGGGCTTTCAGTCCAAATGC